TTTCACCATCTGGCCATGGTGACTGGGCCTGAAGTAGGGGTATGGGGGTGGGGGGGTGCAATGTGGACACGCATGATGCAAGAAAGAGGATGATTTCACATGCTCAGTCCCCAAGGTCTGGAACTCGGGGGAGGGAACGCCTTATGAGCCAGGTTGGGAAGGGCAATTTTCCCTCATACCTCTAGTCTTTCTAGCTTCACCACTGCTGCAGCAGTTTCCATGAGGCAGCTGTGAGCTCTAGTGGGTATTTCTCTGGGGCCCTTAGGCCAGAAGGAAAATTCTGGTCTCTTTATTTCTAGCATTGATGTTGGGACAGGGGTGAGGGGTTGGGTGGGTCGGAGAATGGAACCCTCTTGCTCAGGCCCAGATGGCAGTGCCACGAGGCACAGAAGTCACCCCCTGACCCTGCCTGTGCTGGCCGCCCAGAGTCCAGTTGGCCTGCAGCATGATGTGGAGGAGGGCCAGAGCAGGGGGGTTGGGGTGGGGAATGTGTTCCTGTGATGTCTGGGGAAGCCCAGAGAGGTGGTGGTGGTGGTGATGCAATCTTGCACAGGGCAGAGTCCATCAGGACTGTCAAGGGGCATGACACTTGGGAGGGCATATACCCAGCTGCTACTTCTCTTTCAAGTGACTGTGAGAGTTGCCTAAATTTAGGGCATCCTAGAAGTAGTGCCAGGTCTTTTTTTTCTTAAATTTTTGAAATTTAAATTTAATTTTATTTTATTTAGGTAAGGTCTCAATCTGTTGTCCGGGCTGGAGTGCAGTGGCACAATCATTGCTCACTGCAGCCTTGAACTCCTGGGCTCAGGCAATCCTTCTGCCTCAACCTCCTTAGTAGCTGGGACTTCAGGTGCACACCACCACACCTGAATAATTTTTAAATTTTTCATAGAGATGGGGTCTCGCTATGTTGCCCAGGCTGGTCTTGAACTCCTGGGCCCAAGCAATCCACTTGCCTTAGCCTCCTAAAGTGCTGAGGTTATAGGCGTGAACCACTGCACCACCCTTCAGGCCTATTAATGGGGATAGAAAATGGAGCTTTAAGAGCTATTGACAACAAAGCAAGGCAAGTGCAGCAGTCTTGGTTCCCAGTCTCAGCCCTCCTGACCACATTTCCTCACTGGCTTTATTTTTTATTTTAGTTTTTATATTTTTGAGACAGGGTCTCACTTTGTCATCCACGCTGGAGTGTGGTGGCCTGGCTCACTGCAGCCTCGACCTCCCGGGTTAAGTGATTCTTCCACCTCAGCCTCCAGAGTAACTAAGTCTACAAGTGCGTGCCACCACGCCAGGTTAATTTATTTTTTATTCTTTTGTAGAGACAGGGTCTTGTTGTATTGCCCAGGGTGGTCTCAAGCGATCCTCTCACCTCAGCCTCCCAAGGTGCTAGGATTATAGACATGAGCCACTGCACCCAGTCCTCACTGGCTTTAAATAGGGGGACCCAGACCCCTCCACCTTGAATTCATGAGGGTGGGCCTCATGCTAGCTTTTCTCCTTAGTTTCTCCAAGAAGCTTGAGGGGGAGAAAGCTGTGGGGGAAGTGGGTGTGATTTGGAAATGCGTCCTTACTCCACTTTGTTCATCTCCCCTCTATTTAGATGATGGGGGCTGTCAAGAGAGACTATTAGATCTGGGGAACTGGGGTCCTACTTGGAGGGCTGGGCCCCAGTACCACCAGTGTCCACCATGTGGCAGTGCCGTGCCTCTGGACAGCAGCTGGCTTGTAGCTGGCTGGAGCTTCCCAGGGACAGGGAAGGGGCAGCTCTGGGAAATGCAGCAATGAAGAGTGCTCCTTGACCTCTCCCTCTGGGGACCCTGCCTCACCCACAAGAGACAGGGACACGCTGGTTCCTCTGTTCTTTCCCCATCACACTGCCAGAGAAGAGAGACTGTCTTCAGGATCCACATCACTGCTACCTTTGGTTTTGGACCTCCTCACACAAACACGTGTCAGTGGAGCTTGGTGATGTACCAGGCTTTTCCTAGAACTATTTGGTGGGGGTGGAGTGGGGTGGGGGCGCACTGAGACACTTAGATCCTCCTGTCCACCCTTCATTTCTCCCCACATTCTGAAACACATTCAAGAGCTCTGTCCAGTGTTCTCCTCAGCTCCCAACTCCCATTCTGTTGGTCGGACTGGTAAATGACAGCCCTCTACCCCCTCTGGTCTGGAACATTGGGTCGGCAAAGCGGAGGTATCTATCCATGGTGGTGCCTCAGAAGGCTTACCTGTTGGTATCAGTAGGCAGTCGGGGAAGTGACAAGAAGTGGCTGCAGGAGTCACTGACCCCATCTCTCCCCACCCTCACTGTCAAGTGCCCCCAATTTCCAGCTCTTCCCACCTCCTTGCTGCTGCGTCTGGCCTGGCCCTACCTCCCCACTGACACTTACGTCAGAGCTCAGCTATAAATACGCTCTTAGCATCTTAGTCACTTTTCCCAAGAAGTGCTCCTGGGTTATAAATACCCCAGCCATCTGCCTCGCTGCCTGCCCTACCACCAACCTGGTTGGGGGCTGGGGGATAGCGATAGGCTTGGGGGTGAGTAAGGAAGTAGAAGACAGGCTTGGGGGTGGGTAAGGAAGTAGAATAAGCGAAACGGGAGTGGTTATCTTGCTCAAATGAGAAAAACCTGAAGGAGTCCAGAGGTAGGAGCTAGGAAGCTCTAGGAGAAAATGTTTGAAGGAGGCAGACCCACTCTTTACCCTTTTTACAAAAGGCAGAGCCAAAACAGAAAGGGAATAATGATGATCCTGTTTTTATTTAAAAGTAGGCTATTTTGGGCGCGGTGGGTGGCTCACACCTGTAATCCCAGCACTTTGGGAGGCCGAGATGGGCGAATCATGAGGTTAGGAGATTGAGACCATCCTGGCTAATGCGGTGAAATCCCGTCTCTACTAAAAACACAAAAAAATTAGCCGGGCTTGGTGTCGGGTGCCTGTAGTCCCAGCTACTTGGGAGGCTGAGGCAGGAGAATGGCGTCAACCCGGGAGGCGGAGCTTGCAGTGAGCCGAGATTGCGCCACTGCACTCCAACCTGGGTGACAGAGTGAGACTCCGTCGCAAAAAAAAAAAAAAAAAAAAGGAGGCTATTTTGTTCATCATGGATTTTTTGCATTAATTTTTACTTTTAAAAAATTGCATTAAAGTCCTATCTTGATTAATAAATTGTTCACCACCCCCTTAAAATTTAGCACCCCCGCCAGGTGAATGACTCACTTTGCCTTATCCCAGTCTTGGCCCTGGGAACTAAGCTGTAGTTGGGAAGGAGGTTAGATCTGGGGGCCGGGGGTGTGTCGGGGAGACACCAGAAGGCCTCCTTAGATTCTCTTTAGGTGAAGGTCTCCTCAAGTCAAAGGTGGAATAACATCCATGGGTTGCTCAGGAAGCCCTTGAGCTCAGATTTACAGTCCCCCAGGCAGTCCTTTTCAGACTTTCTCCTCTAGGGTTCCTATTTCAGGGACCTCTTACCCTCATAGGAGGGGGTTATAAGCTGAGCAAACACAGACATCACATTTACCAAAGAACACATGGGTTTTGCGCAAACTCGGCCTTGGGTTGCAGACAATATCGACCTCGTGGTTCAGGACTGTCCAGCCAAAGGGAGGAGATGTGGGGGAGGAAGGGCAAAGGTCTAAAAAAGACCCAGTCTCAGAGCAAATGCCACCCTCTCCTCATCCAGGCCTTCCTCTTCTTCCTGTCCCACTCCAGCAGCCCTTGCCTATTCCAGATTCCAGGCAGGATTCCTGGGTGGAGCACTGGGGGCGGGTGAAAGAAAGGCAAGTCAGAGGTCCTGACAGGCAGCTCTGAGCGTGCCTCTGCCTCCCACACTTGAGTGCCCACAGCTGGTCAGTTTACTGGGTGACTAAGTATCGGTGCCTAAGAAAGAAGAGGCATAAAGTGTGAGATGGATACAATAGCTCAGTCCTGAGGAGACCATGTGAAGAGAGAGCAGAGTAGGCAGACTACAGCATAGGCAGGCAGGTTCTGTGTCATCTGGGGTGCCAGTTAGGGCCCTTGTAGGAGATAGAGGACCATTCAGCTGTCTGGTTTTGCTTCATCAAGAGAACTTAGTGAAGGAATTATTTACAGAGGTATAGGCAGAGTTAAGGGAACCAGTAAGAGATGTTGAGGCCCCAGGGACTAGCAAGATAGAAAGCCTTTAGGACCCCCTAGTGTTGAAACAGTGATAGCAGAATGTAGGCAGAGTTGGGGCCATGGAAACGGGTAGCCAGGCTACTAGTGTAGGGACACAGAATAGCCACAGTTACACAGAACCATGGCACCTATGCAGAGAGGGAGCAGGGATAAGAAATGCCCTGACCTCATCAGGAAGCCAGAGGGCAGGGGAGCTCAGGTGATAGAGCTCAGGCAAGTCAGTCCTTAAGGGCACAGAGAAAGGCAGAGAAGGACAAAAAATGGATGAGGGTATGCAAAGAGACCTTTAGCAGTTCACCTGGACAAGAAAGAAGGAAAGGGGCTCACAACAAAGAGGAGGGTACGTAAGCCTCTATTTTGGGCAGCAGTGATCTAAACTTTGGTGAATCCAAAGAAGGGGCTCTCTGGAGATCCACAAAAATCGGGGAAAGGGGCTGTGTCAACTCGTCTTGGAGTGGGGACCATCGAGTGGAAAGGACAGGAAGGCATAGTGGGTTATGGGGTCAATTAAAGGTGAGATAAGGGTGTCTTTGCCTGGGAACCAGATGGCCTTGCTCATCGTTGGAGATGGGTCTGAGTCCCTGGAGTCGGGGTTAAGCACGTGAGGCTAGCGGGATGGACCATGCCCTAGGAAAGAGGGTAGTGGTCAGGAAGATGGTACAGTGACTCTTTTTAGATGAAAGTTTCTTCAAGTCAAAGGTGGGGTAATTTCCATAAGATGCTCAGGAAGAGGGAGTCCACATTCTGGACAGAGAATGAGGTCATTCCCTCCTCTCAAGGAAGTGCACTTCTGTGGGGGAGTGTTTTCCCACACCCCCTTGGGCTGCCCATACTACACATAGACTAACTGCACCCGCAGGCCTCTACTACCATGTCAGGTATGTCAGTCTTGACAATGTTGCTGTCCCTGTCATAGTAGAGCAGAGACAGGGGGCGCCGGGCTGTGGGTACACAGCATGAGCCCCCTCCAGTGGTGCCTGCAGCTGTGTTGGCCTTGAGAAGATTGAGCACTGCAGTGTGAAAGGAGGCTGCAATACCAGGCATGCCGGCTACATGTAGTGGGCACTGCCCTATGCAGAAGTTCATGGCGTAGCCCTCAGGCTGGATGATCCAGTCGTGCCAGCCAATCTCACGGAAGTCCACAAAAAACTCTTGTCGACAGCACATCCTGGACCCTTCTTGGCAGTTGATGCCTCGTCGGTGAATCCGGTGTTTGCCCCCAACTCTCACCCGGGCTGCCACAAAAGGCCTATGGGCAGCTCCACCCAGGATGACTGAGCTCTGGGCTACCTGGCCTTCAGGTACCAGCTCCAGGGTCAGGTGCCCCTGGCTGTAGGCAGCTTGAGCTTCAGGCCCCAGGAGGAGTTGATGCCAGCCACTGGCATCCACCTCTAGCAGGTACTGAGTAGCCAAGGTGAGGTTGGTATTATGTGGACCCAGCACAAGGACCCTCACTTTCAAGGTCCAAGTGGTATTGGAAGGGAGCTGCACAAAGAACATGAGACTAGCCTGCTGGACCTCCCTGTCACCAGCAGTTCTATCAGAGGAGAAGTGAAAATCAAGACGAGTCTTGTTGATGGTGGAGAGGCCTGTGGACATAAGAAGCGCCAGTCATTGCGGCCTTCTGAGTGTCACTTCTACCAACTATTTCTCTATACTCAGCATTCTTGAGCTGTCCATAGCACTTGGCATTTGCTACAGTTTAAACATATCCTCCAAAGTTCGTGTGCTGGAAACTGGATCCCCAATGCAGTGGTGTTGGGAAGTGGGGCCTAATGGGAGGTGTTTGGGTCATGGGAACACCACCTTCATGAATGGATTAATGCCCTTATCTTGGGAATGGGTTCCTTATAAAAGGATAAGTTTAATTCTCCTCAGCCCCACCCTCTCTTTGCCCTTCTGCCATGGAATAACACAGTGAGAAGCAAGAAGGCCCTCGCCAGATGCCAGCCCCTTGATCTTGGACTTCCCAGCCACCATAACGAGTTAATACATTTCTGCTCATTATAAATGACCTAGTCTGTGGTATTCTGTTATACCAGCACAAAATGGACTAAGACAGCACTGTTGACAATCCTTTCCTTCCTGAAAATCTTTTCTCTCTTGGCTTCCATGACACAACTCTGTTATAATTCTTCCCTGGTTTTCTTTGCTGGCTTTTCTTTCTCTGACCATCCCTTCAATATCAGAGTTTTCCAAGGTCTGTCTTGGACTTCCATTTCCTTCCAGTCTACATTAAGGTAGCTCTTAATTAGACTCATGGTCAAGCAACACAATTTTTTTTTTTTTTTAGATGGAGTCTCACTCTGTCACCTAGGCTGGAGTGCAGTCGTGTGATCTCAGGCTGGTCTTGAACTCCTGACCTCATAATCCACCCACCTTGGCCTCTGAAAGTGCTGGGATTACAGGCATGAGCCACCACGCCCAGCCAAGCAACACAATTTTTATGTTGGTGATTCCCAAAACTGTATGCCCAGGCCAGACCATTTTGCATATTTGGACTGGACATATAGATTTGGAAATCACCAAGCTTCAAGGCCTAGATTTCTAACTACTTACTCATGTCACATGAATGTCCTGGCGGCATATTTAAAATCAATTGGTCCTAGATCTAGGTGTAGTAGTGCATGCCTGTAATCCCAGCTACTTGGGAGACCGAGGTAGGAGGATTCCATGAGCCGAGGAGTTCAAGACCAGCCCGGGCAACATGGCAAGACCCCATCTTATAAATATATATGTGTGTGTATGTATATATGTATGTGTGTATATGTATATATGTGTGCATACATATATACAAACACAAGCACACACACATATTTTATATATATATATATATTTTTTGAGACAGAGTCTTGCTCTGTCACCCAGGCTAGAGTGCAGTGGCATGATCTCAGCTCACTGCAAGCTCCGCCTCCTGGGTTCACGCCATTTTCTTGCCTCAGCCTCCTGAGTAGCTGGGACTACAGGCACCCTCCACCATGCCCGCCTAATTTTTTGTATTTTTAGTAGAGATGGGGTTTCACCGTGTTAGCCAGGGTGGTCTCGATCTCCTGACCTTGTGATCCGCCTGCCTTGGCCTCCCAAAGTGCTAGGATTACAGGCATGAGCCACCATGCTCGGCCTTTTTTTTTTTTTTTTTTTTTAGATGAAGTTTTGTTCTTGTTGCCCAGGCTGGAGCGCAATGGCGCAATCTCAGCTCATTGCAACCTCCACCTCTCGGGTTCAAGCGATTCTCCTGCCTCAGCCTCCCAAGTAGCTGCACCAGCTAATTTTGTATTTTTAGTAGAGACAGGGTTTCTTCATGTTGGTCAGGCTGGTCTCGAACTCCTGACCTCAGGTGATTCGCCCTCCTCAGCCTCCCAAAGTGCTGGGATTACAGGCCTGAGCCATTGCGCCTGGCCAATATGTGTATATATATATTTTTTAATCAATTTTTCTCAACCTGAAAAATCATTATTTTCCTTCCTATATACCCCTTTTCCATTCTTGGTGGTGCCACTACCCTCCTTATCACCTGTATAAACTCTATGATCAGCCGGGCGTGGTGGGTGGCTCACGTCTGTAATCCCAGCACTTTGGGACGCCGAGGCAGTTGGATCACCTGAGGTCAGGAGCTTGAGACAAGCCTGGCCAAGATGATGAAACCCCATCTCTACTAATAACACGGTGAAACCCCGTCTCTACTAAAAAAATACAAAAAACTAGCCGGGCGAGGTGGCGGGCGCCTGTAGTCCCAGCTACTGGGGAGGCTGAGGCAGGAGAATGGCGTAAACCCGGGAGGCGGAGCTTGCAGTGAGCTGAGATCCGGCCACTGCACTCCAGCCTGGGCGACAGAGCCAGACTCCGTCTCAAAAAAAAAAAAAAAAAAAAAATACAAAAATTAGCCAGGCATGGTGGTGGGCGCCTGTAATCCCAGCTACTTGGGAGGCTGAGGCAGGAGAATCGCTTGAACCTGGGAGGCAGAGGTTGCAGTGAGCCGAGATCACACCATTGCACTCCATCTTGAGTGACAGAGCAAGGCTCTGCTTAAAAACAAACAAACAAACAAACAACTCTATGATTACTTTCTTCACTCCCCATATACCTTGTCTCACCAGAATTGTTCTAATGTCTGCGCATTTCTTTATATCCCTATTACTACTGCCCAGTTGCCTCTTATCATCCCTCACCTTCTTTACTGAACATCTTAGTTGGTTTCTATTCTCTCCACTCTACAGAAATTGCACGTGTCAAGATCACCAACACCTTCCACACAGCAAAACTATCCATTTATATTCATCTGACTTGGCCTTTAAGTAGTGTTTGACACAGTTAACCACTCCTTCCTTCTTATATATTTTCTTCTCCTGGCTTTTATAACACTGGCCACTCTATCTTTTTCTCCTCTATTGACAGCTCCTCTTTGTCGGCCTAACCTTTAAATGTTGGAAGTCAGGCCAGGCGTGGTGGCTTACACCTGTAATCCCAGAACTTTGGGAGACTGAGGTGGATGGATTGCTTGAGTCCAGGAGTTTGAGATCAGTGAGATCAGCCTGGGCAACTTGGCAAAACTCTGTCCCTACAAAAAATACAAAATTACCCAGGTGTGGTAGTGTACACCTGTAGTCCCAGCTACTAGGGAGGGCTAAGGTGGAAGGATTGCTTGACCCTGGGAGATCAAAGCTATAGTGAGACATTAACGCACCACTGCACTCCAGGCTGGGCAACAAAGTGAGACCCTGTCTTAAATCAATCAATCAATTAATCAAGTCCTAAGCTCCCTCCTCTTCTCTATCTATACCCTCTCCCAGAATGATCATCCATTCCATGGCTTTCAATTCCACCTATATGCAGATCACTTCCAAATGTATATCTCTGGTCCTGACCTCTCCCTGAACCCTAGCCTTGCATGTCCAAGTGCCTATCTGATACTTGACTTGGACATCCAATAATATTTCAATCTCTTCTTTTCTGTAATTAAAAAAATTTTTTAGGCCGGGTGTGGTGGCTCACGCCTGTAATCCCAGCACTTTGGGAGGCCAAGGTGGGTGGATCACCTGAGGTCAGGAGTTTAAGACCAGGCTGACCAACGTGGCAAAACCCTGTCCCTACTAAAAATACAAAAAATTAGGCCAGATGCGGTGGCTCATGCCTGTAATCCCAGCACTTTGGGAGGCTGACGCAGGAGGATCAGTTGAGGTCAGGAGTTCAATACCAGCCTGGCCAACATGGTGGAACCCTGTCTCTACTAAAAATACAAAAAGTCAGCCGGGATTCCCAGCTACTCGGGAGGCTGAGGCAGGAGAATCGCTTGAACCCAGGAGGCGGAAGTTACAGTGAGCTGACATTGCGCCGCTGCACTCCACCCTGGGCAACACAGTGAGACTCTGTCTCAAAAAAAAAAAAAAACCCCACCAAAAATTAGCCAGTCATGGTGCAGGCATCTATAATCCCAGCTACTTGGAAGGCTGAGGCAGGAGAATCGCTTGAACCTGGGAGGCAGAAGTTGCAGTGAGATGAGATCGTGCCATTGCACTCTAGCCTGGATGACAGAGCGAGATTCTGTCTCCAAAAAAAAAAAAAAAATTTACTTGGAGTTGGGGGCGATTCTCACTATGCTACCCAGGTTGGTCTTGAACTCCTGGCCTTAAGTGATCGTCTCACCTCAGCCTGAGATCACAGGCATAAGTCAATGGGCCCAACCTCAATCCTGTACAAGGAAGTCTAAATGTATCCCTCCAACCCAAACCTATCCCTTCTCCAAACTTCTCCTCTGTAAATGCATTGCTTAAGGCAAAATCTTGATCGTGATTATCCCCTACTTTGAAATTATCTGAAAGTTTTATCAACTCTACTTCTAATTCATAATACAATTTCACTTCTCCCCACCTCCTCTACTACACATTAGTCCAACTCACAACCATCTTTTTCTTTAACTATAGCTTTCATTCACTCAAGTGATTCACTCTTGCCCTCCAAACCGTTCTCCAAATATCAGTCAGTGATCTTCTTATAAATCTGATTAGTTTTATCTTCTCAGCTTAAAACACTTCGAAGTCTTCCCCTTGCTCTTTGGATAAAATCTAAACTCCTTGAAATAGAAAACTGGTTTGACACTTAACTACTACATTCTGCCTATACTGGCCTTTTTCTGTTCCTCAGATTCACCAAACATAAAGCCATCTCACAGCCTTTACACTTGCTAGTCCCTTTCTCTGGAATGTCTTTCCAAGATCTTTGAATGACTGATTTCTTTTTGGCATTCAGTTCAGATGTCTCCTCCTCAGAAAGGCTTCAGGCTTCCTTCCTAATCTATCTAAAGCAGCCTTCAGCCAGGCGTGGTGGCACATGCCTGTAATCATAGCACTATGGGAGGTCAAGGTGGGAGGACTGCTTGAGGCCAGGAGTTTGAGACCAACTGGGCAACATAGTGAAACCCTGTCTCTACAATAAGTAAAAAAATATATAAATAAATAAATAATAGCTGGGCATGGAGCAACACACCTGTAATCCCAGCTACTTGGGAGAATCACTTGAACCCAGGAGGTCAAAACTGCAGTGAGCCAAGATCATGCCACTGCATTCTAGCCTGGGCAACAGAGCGAGACTG